TGTATTGTTACAAGAACTTGTCTAAGGGCCGGGGACGCAGCCCTGAGGCACAGCGCCTGCCTGGCAGGTGCAAGGTCCTGAGTCCAATTCCTGATACAAAACAAAAAACACAAAACGGCTAGAACTTCTCTGGGTCATTGAGGGATGGCAGAAAGCTGTGGCCCATGACATTTGTTTCTGCTGCCTTTGGAGGCTAAGGCCTCAATGAGTGGCCACACACATGATGCGGGGTGTGGTAAGAGGAACTTAAGGAACCCGTTTTCCCACTGGTTCAGCGTTCTCTGAAGACTCTGACACAGAATAAGCCTTGATTCTGAGTCCCAGACCAAAGCCTACAACCAGCAAGGACGAGGGGTGAAAATGACCTTAATGTTCAGTCTGAGGCCAGCACTCACTGAGAGGGCAAGACAGTGTGAATGCCCCGTGTGTATCTTTCAGGGTCCCAGCAGGTACCCAAACTCAGGTGCTTAAATACCTCATACATAGTGGCAGAGCTCTTGTGTGCCACCCACCCACCCACACCCTCCTAAGTACTTTAACTCATCTTTAGGTTACTTACAGTTCTCAATAAAGTACAAGTGCTATGTAAATAGCTAGCATGCTATATTGTTTAGGGAATAATGATAAGAAAAAAGTTCACATATGTTCAATACAGACATAATTTTTCCTTTTTCGGTGTTAGGGATTAAACCCTGGGCCTCGTGCATGCTAAGCACATGCTCTGTCACAGCGCTACATCCCAGCTCGGATGCAGCTCTGTTTTGTTTCAGGAACTTTTGACCTCTGGTTGGTCGAGCCCAGACGTGGACCTGTGGAGGAGCAGGGCCAACCGCCTTGTTTCCTTCATCTCTTACTCCACATTCAAGCTTTACGAACGTGTGCTGCGCCTTCACCTTGCTCCGAGCGTGCTGGCAAGCTGCTATCCAGAGACGCTAGAGAGGGAACTTAGCATATGGCAGCAAGTCCTCATACGTGTATAAGAGAAAACTTAAAGGGAGTAGCCAGGCGTGGTGGTGCATGCCTGCAATCCCAGCTCTCAAGAGGCTGAGCCAGGAAGATGGCTGCGAGTTCAAGGCCAACCTGGGCTACTAAATGAGTTCAAGGCTACCTTGAACTGCATAGCAAAATCCAGTATCAAAAAGGCAAAAAAAAAAAAAAGGAAGTGAGAGAAAAAGTGGAAATGGCTATGTCTGAATGCTCAGCACCCGTGAGAAGGCGGCCGTAACAAGGTGTGTAAGGGAGAGAAGCACTTGGTACAGAAGACAGAGGAAAATCAACATGTGAATGTGTATAAAGGACAGAGAAGGGAAAAGCGTTGCCGGGGAGGGGCACCCACCAATGACAGACATCCTCTTGCGTACATTGCTGAAGTCTAAAATAGCCAGCACCTGGTAGACTCTGGTTACCCCCATTTCAACCACTGTGATTGTCTCAGACGTGCGGGAGCGGAACACAAATCCGAAGTTTCTGGCAGCAGTGACAAGGGCACCTTCGTCTGGGGACTGCGCCTGGTACACCAGCTCACCTGGCAGGAGATACAAAGGCATCCACGGGCATGAGCAGCGGGAGTCCACTTAGAAGTGACACTGTCTTCCAAGTGGCTTATAGAGCGATGGGAGCCCAGGAGGGACATCTTTCTTCAAAACCTCCTCACAAATCTGGCCCTGAAAGCCCGTGTCGCATAGAACATGTCAGTCTCTCTCCCTTTCCAGTATTTTCAACTCATGATACACGGTACAGGCAGTGGATACCAACAAACAAAATATGGGAGCTGCTGTTCAACTTTAGTAGGTAAAGACGGCTCGGACGACTGACTAAACATGCGAATTCCTGGGCCCCACCCAACTCCCTGAAACCAGGATCACTACATCTGGAAGGAAGGCCCAGGAAACTGAATTTTTAACAAATCTCTTGGGTGCTCCTCATGCATGTGACATAAACAAGGTGCTCCTGGAAGACTGGCCACACTCTGACAAACACTCACAGTCCTAGGCTCAAGTTATATACTCATCTCAGTCTCTCAAGTGCGGGGATTACAGGCTCATACCACTGCATCCAGCTTGAATTTGATTTTAAAACAGGCAACATCAGAGTCTCATCTTTGTGAATGAGGTTGGTTAGGGGTATAATTTTGGGTTAGATATAAGATGCATTCACTAGCAAATAAGACTTTTACTTTTTCTTTTCTCTTCTTTTTGGGGGGTGCTGTGCACAGAATCTTGCTATGTAGTTCTGGCTAGCTTTGAACCCACTATGTAGCCCAGGCTGGCCTTGAACTTGTGGTCATCCTCCTGCCTCAGCCTCCCTGACTGCTGGGATTATAGGCCTGCACCACCACGACTGGCTGACTGTCTTCTTCTCTGAAAACAAATGCAGGGCCAAAGAGGGATCAAATAACAGCTTGCTGGGACGGTAGACCCAAGAAGCATGTGGTGGGTCACCCTCACATTCTGGGAGGGGCCTCACGGGACCAGGAGACTGCCTGGTAATAGTACAGTAAGGGTCTTAATTTTACTCGGGTCATCGTTCTTTTTTTTTTTTTTTTTTTGGTACCAGGAATCAAACTCAGGATGTTGTGCTTGCCAGGTAGGCACTTGTGCCACTGAGCTGTATCCCCAGCCCAAGGGTCTTAATGTTAAAGGACATAACTAACTCAGTTGCCTAAATTAATTTGTTTTAAAAAAAGTTTGGGTACCTGAATGGATGACTTTGCCACATGTGGTTATTAAAGAAACTAAAATTTGTGAGGATAATTTTTCTGCGGTGTTGGGGGTTGAATCCAGGGCCTTTGCACTGAGCTATATCCCCAGCACCTTTGTTTATTTTTTATTTTGAGACAAGGTCTTGCTAAGTCACTAAGTTGCCTAAGCTGGGCTCGAACTCACAGTCCTTTCACTGCAGCCTCTCAGAGTACTTGGGAGCATGCTGCAAATCATCCTTCAAGAGGTTTGTCAGAGAGAGGGGAGCTCACCCTGGAGTCAGTTCAGAGGGCGCTGACAGAACACCACAGAGTCGCAATAGCAGCAGCTCCCTACAAGGCACCAAGTTTGACCTCAACCCACTACTTACCTTGATGATCCACTTCACTGGTGGACACTGCTCTTTCTGAGGGAGCCGCTGCAGACCCTGCCACACTGCCCCGCCCCCAGCGCTCTCAGGGCAGGGGTGCTGGCCGCTCCTCACCTTCTACCTTCTCCTCCGGGATCACAGTGTGACATAGCGACAGGGACAGGAAAAACAAGCGCACCCACTTATCTCCACGTCTCACTGCTTCCACCAAAGTGCTGTCATAAAATGCAAAGTTGGGGCTGGCCAGCTTGTTGTAGGAGAAGTCAACTTTTTCTTTCTGGAATATATAAGGCAGAACAAAGCTTTCGGCAACAGCTGATGTTTTATAGATGGTCAACTTGGGGACATTTCTGGAATATAATGAGAACTCTCAGAAGGGTGAGAAGAGAAAAACAATATAAATGGCAGAGATACTGTGCTGGTTTTTTTGTTTGTTTGTTTTTGTTTTTTTTCCAGTACTGGGAATTGAACTCGTAATCTTGCCCTTGCCAGGTAGGCGCTGTGCCACTGAGCTAAATCCCCAGCACCCCGTGCTGGTTTCTAAGGCACTTGTAGCTCTGGGTTTGACCATCCAGGGACTTGGGCCAGAAAAGATCTGCCCCGGGAGACAAGCTAAGCGCTACTTGGCGGGCCCTCCTTGCCTACTTCTCACCCTGGGTATTCTGAGTGGCCCACGGCCTTCCTCATGTTCTACTCTTCTAAGTCCCAAATCCCATCTGAGGACATGGGGCGATATCTGCTCCCCACGCGTAGGTGGTGTGTGGGAAGTCTTGTTTCTGGTTGTCTCCTGCTTGCTCTTGGAAGCTGAAAAGGGAAACGAGCCCGGGTATGGCGGTATCACCGAGCTGTTACTCCTTTCCAGCTTCCCAGGGATAAAGGGGGCACGGAGGACAACCACAAACAAGGCCGTAAGATGAGGAGGCTCCAGTCTGTGCTTTTACAGACTTCCTCTGCCTGACCCACCTTTCCCGTCTCTAACGCTCACGGTCGCTGGCCTGCTGCTTTATGCTCCCATTTGGGCCTCAACTTTGGGGCCTAAAATTCATGAACTGCTTTCCTGGCCGGAGACCTGGCCCCTCTAGATGCTGACCCTCACTGCCCCTTCAGTTTGCTTGTGGCCAGGTGAACACTGGCTCCGAGGCTTTCTTACCCCATGCCAAGTACAAGGAGTGATCAAAAAAGTGATGTTTAAAACTTAACAAGTTTCGCTACAGTAAAAGAGACCTTGCCAAGAATTATGTGATAAGTGTGTTTAAAAAGAGGGAGTGTCTTAAAGGGGTTAATGGCACTGTGTCTTTTACCATAAAAAAAAATATTAAAAATTCACTGTATTTTTTGATCAAGTACTTATGGCAATTCTGTGAAACAAAAACATAACAATGTGTCTTCATGCTCTTATGCACCAGGGCCACTGTACAACTTCTGGGTCTTCCCCAAAGTCAAGACGAATGTGAAAGGTAAACGTCTGAATCAGCGCAGGACATGGAGGCACCGGACAGTGCAGCTAAAGACGCTCACGAGTGAGGTCTCCAGAGCTGCTCCGGAAGTGGCAAGAATGATGGGATACGTGTGTTTCAAGAAAGGGGAGTATTTTGGGGGATTAATGGCAATGTGCCTTTTACGGTAGTAATCTTTTTTTTTGTCTTTCTGAGACAGGGTCTCGCTATGCAGTTCAGGCTGGCCTTGAGCTCACTTTGTAGCCCAGGCTGGTCTCGAACTCACAAGGACCCTCGTGCCTCAGCCTCCCGAGTGCTGGGATTACAGGTGTGCACCACCACACCTGGCTGTAGTAATCTTTTTGAAATTTAAATATTCACTATATATTTTATCAAGCCTCACATGAACCTGAGGAGAAATGCTATTCACACATTTCTCTACCTCATATCACAACTCTCAAGGATGTTCCTCCAGGTTTTCTGTTTTGTTTTTAGTGTTTTGTTTGTGGTGGTAGGATAGAACCTAGGGCTTCTTCACACATGCTAGGCAAGTGCTTTACCAATGAACTACATCCTCAGCCCTTTGTCTATTTTTGAGGCAAGATTTTGCTAAATTTCCTGGGCTGGCCTTGAACTTACCATCCTCCTCCCTCGGCCTCCTGCGTGGCTAGAATTACAGACATGCTCCCCTGCATGTAGTGCTCCGTCCCTTGAAGTTGTGTGGCTGCCTGGGCTGGGCCCCAGTACTCACATACAGACACAACTGCCCTGCCTGTGCTACTGTGGGGAAAGGAGACTTTGCAGCGAGCTCCACCGCTCTGGCCCTTTCCTTTCCTCTCTGCTCCTTTCCTATCTTTTCTTTTGTGGCATGGGGATTAAATTTAGGTCTTCAGACCTATGCTCAGCCCTTTTTATACTTTTTGAGACAGAGTCTTGCTAAGTTGTTGAGTTACCCTGGCTGGGCTTAAACTTGCAATCCTCCTACCTCAGCCTCCCCAAGTGCCGAGATTGTAGATATGTGCCACTCACACTCAGGCTGACTTTTTTCTGTCTCTCATCTGGAGGAAATTTTGTCGGAGGAAGTATGGCCAGGTCCACGGCGAAGCATGAGACCCGGAAACTACTGAAGTTTGAGCTCTGTGGTTCATGGGCTCAGTAATATAAGACGACCCATTACACAGTGTCTTGGTTACTTTCCTCATTGCTGAGACAAAACGCCCGACGCCCAAAGCTAAAGGAGGACAGGTTTATTTGGCTCACAGTTTGTAGCAGTTTCAGCTTATAGCTGGCTCCAAGGCAGGACGGCACAGCAGAAGGCACCACCGAGGAGAAACAGCTTATGACAGTCAGAAGACAACAAAAGCAAGCAAGCGAGCCAACGAGTGACCATAGCAGCTTCCTTCTGCCCCTTTTGTGTTGTCTGGGCTACCAGCTTAGGGTGGTGCCACACCAACCAGTGCACTCTTCAGTACCCACACACCCTGGTCCGGTGCCACTAACCCTAGCATTGCCCACTCGCTCACACACCCTGGGTCCAGCCACCTCCGGAAAACCCACCTGTGACCGCATGAGGCTTGGGGGCACCTAAACACAAAGCGCAGAGCAGCCCTTGAGGGCTTTCTGGAACTGGACACTTAAAGTGCACGTTCTTTGAAACGAGAGGCTAGTGAGGGATGAGAGACGAGGCTGCTGAGGAGGGCAAGCGCCAGGTGCTGCCTCACCTTCTTGTCTACAACGTGGGCCATAGCAGTTTTCCCCCGGAAGTGACACAGTCAGGCTTGGGTCGCAGAGTCCTCCGCTGTCTGCGTGGAGAATATATTGGGACTAGCAAGGTAAGGAGTGGGAGAGCGGCTAGAGGTCTATTCAGTGATTCACGAGAAATGCTGGCGTAGTAACAATAAAGATTAGGACGGCGGATCTGAACAGCAGGGAGCTGGGATTCACAGACAGGGACGTGAGGAGTGAAGGGGGTTAATGTTTTATAGGGCTGATGATGTAGCTCAGGGCGGAGGACTTGCTTAGTGCGCACGAGGCCCTGGCTTCCGGCCCCAGTACCACAGACAGTTCTGTTTCCCTGTTGGACTTCTACATAGACAGATTCTTCACTGACAGAGGACATCTAGCGGGAGTAGGTTTCTGATCGTGAGTCGGACAGGTAGTAATAAAAGCAGCCTTTGGACACAGTTTTGAAGCTCAGGAGAGAGATCCAAGCTGGTGTGTGATCTCGCCTTTCAGAAGAACAGTGTGCGAGAACACTGGGCCTGGCTGGCCGCAAGGCTGTGGCGGGGCGGGCTTACAGCGATCTGAGAGGCAGCTTTCTCGGTGACTCTAGAATTAAAAGCCAACCAACATGGTAAGCAAGGCTGAAGGACAAATAAGGTATGAGACAGAAGGATGGAAACTGGGGGGTGTCAGTGAGAGGAAGTGGATTAAAATTGAAGGCCAGAAGATGGCAGTTAGAGTACTCTTGGTGCTGTTAGACACAGCGGTAGGACAGTTTTTATAGGACGGCTTTAGCCTTGGGCAGCGATGGGGAGGGGCGAGGGCCCTTGGATATACAGATCTGGAGATCATCAGCAGGTGGAAAGTAATTAAGGCCATGCGAGCACATGGGACTGTCTGGGGAGACGACACAGACGGAGAAGCGGCTCAGTAACAGAGCCCTGGGGACCGTCAGTGCGTAAGGCAGAGAGATGAGAAAAAGCATGCAGAAGGAAAGACAAGAAGAGGGTTGTTCTTTACCAGAAACCAAGGGACAAGAGACCTTCACGGAAAAGTGGAGGTGAAGAGTGGTAAAATTTGGAAGGCTGAGGCAGGAGGAAGGCAAGTTCGAGGCTAGTCTGGGCGACTTGGTGCGATCCTGGCTCCAACAGTAAGAAGGGCTTGGGTGTAGCTTAGTAGTAGAGCATCCCTGGGTTTAATCCCCACCATCACAAAACAAAAACACCAGTGTCAGGGTCCGTGGAGAAGCTGGGTCAGCACTGAACAGGGCCTTGGCTAGGACGGTGTGTGGACGCGACACACAGAGGGGCTGAGGAGGGAAGATGCTGAGGAATTGGAGACTGCTGTGACCGCCTGCTTCTCCCCCTGTCTGCCGAGCCTTGGGAGGTCGGGACCACGTCTGGGTACTTCCCTGCACTTTTAGCACTTGCTCCAAGACTGACATGTGTTAGATGCACGAATGTTTTCTGGATTGGCTGATGAAAACTAATAACGGCTGGGGGGTGTGGGACGAGGGAGATGCTGAGTTTTTTAGAAGTATGAATATAAGAAAATACAAAAAATAGTATTAGTGGTGACCTCTGGTTAATGGGATATGCTTTCTGAAACCCACTTACTTTATTTTTAACTGATAATCTATTTTAGGGCAGTTTTAGTTTCACAGAAAGTAAAGTAAGTACTTGTACGTCTATGTTATGGTTTGTGTCTAGATGTCCCAACAAAGCCTCATGCAGTCACAGGTGGGGCTTTTTCAGAGGTGGCTGGATCTAGAGTGTGATGCTGGGATTGAGGGTGTGTGTTACTAAATCCGTCCACTGGTTGGTATGGCATCCACCATAATCCCAGCGGCCTAGATAAAATATAAAAGGGAAGAAAGATGCTATTAAGGTCCCTTGCTGCTTTGCTACCTTCTGCCCACCGTGAACTGTTCTCCTCTGCCATGTGCCACTCTGCCTTGGAGCCAGCATAATGTGGACTGAAACCTGTCCTCCTTTAACTTTGGGTGTTGGGTATTTTGTCTCAGCAATGAGAACGAAGACAGTCTATCCTACAGTTTTCTTAGCAAAATGCATGTAACATTCTGCAGGACCGTGTGCATACCAGGCCAGAGCTCTAGACTGAGCTGGTACTGCTTTCACCCACCTCAGTTTTCTGATAGTTTGAGGCCAGTACGAGCTTTGCTATTTCAGGGGCTGGGGTCCGCGCTGTGGAAAAGACGCTTCTCTGTCGCACAGCCTCAGTCGGCTGCCGCGAGTGCTTCCCAGGAAGCTGTACTCACTCACCTCAGAGTCGGGCACCTTAGCTCCAACCTTGCCATGGGAATTGCCTATTGGTCAGTAAAACAGAGCAGAGAGTTACGAAGACGTTTAAAGGAAGGCTTTCCTCCCCACCGGCGGTACTGGGGCTTGAACCCTGGCCCTTTGCATTAAGCTACATCCACAGCCTTCTTTTACTTTTAAATTTTGAGATAGGGTCTCACCAAGTCACTAATCCCCAAGCTGGGCTCAGACTTTCAATACTCCTGTCTCAGCTGTCCAGCGTGCTGGGATTACGTGTGTGTGGCCATATCTAGCTTAATTTTGTTTACTGTGGTAAAAAAGAAAAATACATATAGCACAAAACCTGCCATTTTAGCCGTGTTAGGTGTAGAATTCAGTGGGACTAGTTATGTTCACGGTGTTTGTGACCCTCGCCGCGTGCAGTTTCAGTACTTCTTAGGTTTGCCAACGGAAACTTCCTGTTCTTCCCCACTCCTGCGCCTTAGCAACCTCTGCTCTACTTCGTCTTTATGAATTCTGCCATCCTAGGTATTTCATATAATTGGAACAGTGCAACATTTGTCTTATTCACTCAGCAATGTTTTCAGGATTCATCCACATTGTAGCATATATCAAAACTTTATTTCTTTTCATAGCTGAATAATATGCCAAAGTATTTAGAGGCCACATTTTAAAAATCCATTCATCTGTGGATGGACATGAGCTATTTCCAACCTTTGGGCTACTGTAAATAATGCTACAATAAATATTTGCATGTATCTGTTTGAATTCTTGTTTCAATTTTGGGAGGACACCTAAGAATGAAATTGGTATGTTATTTTTGTTTTGTTCTTCTATTTTTTTGATTGGTTTTTTTTTTGAGACAGGGTCTCCCTATGCAGTTCAGGCTGGCCTTGAGCTCACTTTGTAGCCCAGGCTGGTCTCGAACTCACAAGGACCCTCGTGCCTCAGCCTCCCGAGTGCTGGGATTACAGGTATGTGCCACCATGCCTAGCAAAATTGGAATGTCATATGGCAATTTATTTTTTTTTATTTTTTAAAAATTTTTGGTACTGGGAATCAAACTCAGGACCTTGCGCTTGCCAGGTAGGCGCCTGTGCCACGGAGCTACATCCCCGGCCCATATGGCATTTTTTTTTTTTCAGGTACCAGGAATTGAACTCATGACCTTGTGCTTGCCAGGCAGGTGCTGTGCCACTGAGCTAAATCCCCAGTCCCCTACATGGCAATTTAAAAGAAGGTTTTCAAAAGCTTATTTATTCTGATTCTCCACCCTAGACTTGTAGTCCAGCTGCCTCAAATGCCCCAGGCCATCTACCCCTCACTGCCCCAGTAAGCTGCTTTCCACAAGCCAGGGACAGGAAGAGGTCATGTGCTTGGGCCCTGCTCTTCTCTCAAGGTGAGGCTAGAGGTGAAGCCCTAGAGGTTTGTCACTGCCAGGTCTACGAGAAACTCCCAAGCTCGGCACGGCCCCAGTCAGAAAAGTAACCTAGGCTATATGCGAAGCTAGTCTAGAGTGTTTAGGGCTCTTGGCCAGTTACAGGATAAACAGAACAGGGGTGGAAGATAGTTCTGACTCCAAGCACAGAAACAATCCTTTCAGCTTTACCTGATCAAGTCTTATAATGAGCCAGAGAATTACAATCCTTATCCAAATCAATTCACCCAAAAGTAACCCATTACAGTTTTTTTTGGGGGGGTGGTGTGGTTGTACCTGGAATTGAACTCAGGACCTTGTGCTTTCCAGGAAGGGGCTTGTGCCACTGAGCTATATCCCCGGCCCCCAATTACAGTTTATACATACAAAAACTGGCTTGGCAAGAGTAATAGGAAACATTAGGGTGCTCTACTCTTGTTTTTTAAATTAAAAGGGTTTAATTTTTAAGGTTGAGGTGAAATTAACATCATACATGATTATTTGGTTTTTGTTTTTCTGAGTCAGGGTCTCACTATTGGAGTTGAGACCAGCCTTGAACTCACTGAGCAGCAGTGGCTTTGAACTAAAAAACCTCCTGCCTCAGCCTCCTAAGTGCTGGGGTTACCGGGGTGTGCCACCATGCCCACCCTAATTAGCTATTTATTTATTTATTTTGTGGTAGCAGGTTTGACACCAGGGCCTTTGCACTGAGCTACATCCTCAGCTCATTTTTCAGTTGTTCTTTTGCAGGAGAGTGGTACCCAGAATCGAACTCAGGACCTCAGGCTTGCCAGGCAGGCACTATACCACTGAGCTAAATCCCCCAGCTCTCAGCTCATTTTTAAATTTTGAGACAGGGTCTCTCACTAAATTGCTAAATTTCCTATGTTGGGTGCAAATTCCTTGAATTTGCGATCCTGACTCCACCTTCCAGACTGCTGGGATTACAGCTATGTGCTACAAAACTTGGCTTAATCAGCTATTTTAAAGTATACAATTTAGGAACACAGAATACATCTGTAATGTTGTCTACACCCTCTCTCTGCTTTCAAAACTTGCCACCACCCAGAATAACATCCCATATGCTCCGCTTTTCTGATGTGATCCCCTTCCTCTCCTGGCGGGGGTGCTGGGCATGAATTCCCCATGCAGGAGGACTTCACGCCAGCACAAAGAGAAGCCGAGGCTGAAGCCATAAGATAAACGGGGGGCTGGGCCTGGAGACACTGACCACCTGGGAGGGCTTCTTTTTATTTTATTTTCTTATGACTTCTTTTAATACTATTTATTGGTCGAAAGGGAATCAGGAGATTAGGAGCTTCAGTAATAGACTGGCTGTGCCATCTATTTTTAATTTATGTTTAATTTTTATTTTTAATTGACAAATAATAATTGTACATATTGATGGGTACCATGTGACGTGCATATATGTATACACTGTAGAATGATTATACCAAGCTAATGAACATGTCCATCGCCACATATTTTTCACTTTTAGCGCTAAGAACATCTGGAATCGACTCTTAGTAACTTTGAGATACAGAGTATATACACTATGATCACCATATTCCGCAATAGATCTCAAGAACTGAGTCTTCCCGTCTCAGTGAACATCCTTGCGCCCTTCTGCCGACACCCTCCTGACTGGGTGTGAGGCCGGGCCGAGGGAGTCGCTCTCCTTAAGGTACAGGGAACTCCTTGAGGGCAGAAACTAAGCCTTGAACATCTTGGTATTCTCAGTGCCCAAAGCAGCGAATTACAACTATTAAGGTGCTACGTAAATGCTTCTTAGTTAGGAATGAGTGGGCTGGGTGGTCTTCCCTTAGTGGATAAAAAGAATTGTGAAGCAAAGGTGAATTTCAGAAGTTTATAGATTTAGACCTAATTTATTATTTTTTTTCTTGAGACATGGTCTATGTAGTCCAGGCTGCCCTGGAGCTCAAAATCCTTGTGCTTCGGCCCCCTGAGTGCTGGGATTATAGGCATGTGGCACTATGCCTGGCCCAAGAGTGAGTTTACTCTCGAAAACAATCCGCAAAGTGGCACTCTCTAGGGCTCAGGAAGGCAGGGAAGCACGCATACCATAGACTTCTCCGTGGATAGAGCACTTGTGGAACATCATGATGTTCTGAGTCAGGGTCCCTGTTTTGTCAGAGAACACATATTTGACCTGGCCAAGCTCCTCGTTAAGGGTGGTAGTGCGAGCCTGTGCTGGGGTGTTCATCGGCGCATAAAACATCTTCCGATCCCAGTTGATGTAGAAACTATTGCCCAGTCTTATTATTTCAACACTAAGGAGAAAAGAAACGAAGGGTCCTCGTCAGAGCAGGACAAAAACAAAACAAAACAAAACATTAGGTTTTCTTCTTACAGGTCCAGCTCTTATAGGTAGCCCGGGGCTAGCCCCTGAAAATCAGGGTATCTTCCCTGGGAACCTACCCTCGAAGGCCTTTCCCCTCAGCCAGCTCATGGAAATTCTGACCACGACCATGATCACGAAAGATTTTCCCACCTGGATCTAGATATTCCTGAATAACTGGGCTGAGTCACGACCTCTTTCACTCCTTCTCCTTCTAAAATGTGCCCAGGAAAAGTCCAGTTTATAAGATTCTTGAATAGTAGTTAACTCATAGAAGGGAACGCCGGCCTAACTAAAGGGTTATGGCTGCTGCCGTGTGAGGGGAGGCGGAGAAACCTGTCGTGCTTAGAATTTGCTTCAGACGAAGGAAGAATCTGTGAACGCTGGAAGTGGTTTGTGGAGTGGCCCTCTGATAAATTTCCAGGCAGGCCACCCCACCTGGTGAAACAGCCTCTTTTTCGTATGAATTTGCCTGTGCCTTTGTCATGGTCCTTGTCCGCTGGAAGTAACGTGCATTATGGGTTCATTATAGTCAACAAGCATTTTCCATTTTAAAACAGTAAACACTTTTTGGGGGGTACCGGAAATCGAACTCAGGACCTTGTGCTTACCAGGCAGGTACTATGCCACTGAGCTGTATCCCTGGCCCCTAAAACAACAAAGCCTTTTAAGGGACCTCCTTCCTGTCAGTACTCATACTTCCTGTGTGTTAAACTGCTTTATTCATAACCCCTGTCTGAGACAGGAGCACTGAGAGGCCTGGATTTCTTCTCGGAGCTGAGGGAAAGGAACCCAGGTCCCCACTGACGACCCTCAGTCTTGGACTGGGACCCCTCCTCAGCCTTTCCCACACCAGCGCCACCTGGACCCTAAACCTCGACATCTACTTACACTCTTTCCCCTTGGAACTACCCTGGCTGGCTGTTTCTGGCTTTTGGGATAAAATCCAAACTCTTTGGCCTGTGATTTAAGGATCCTCTGGATCTGACCCCAAATTACCATCCAACTCCTTAGCCTAACCAATGTTTTAAAAAAATCTCCACACCTCTGTACACGCTGAACCTGCTGTGTGCAACGTTCTTTCCCTATTCTCTTTTTTCAAACATCAGTTTGATTACCTTTGTGCAAGCCTTCCCAAGCTTCTCCAGGCAGAACTAATCTACTCTTTCTCCAGGCTCCCAGAGCACTCATCATTTCAGTTACATCATTTTTCATATTGTACCACAGTTATTTATGTATCTGTCTCCATAGCTACACCCCAACCTTTGCTGGAGAAAGGGATATTTCATTACTCAGGTTGGCTTGGCACGTGGTAGGTACTCAGTGACTATTAAGTAGTATGACCTAGTTATGGAGGGTGCTTTGTGGGTGAGGGTGTCAGAGTGCATGTTCAGGAAACCTGGGAAGGAGGAAACTCCAACACACCTGGCTCTGGGTATGTGCCAGGGGACGCTCCACCTGGAGAGGGAAGAGGAGACAAGACTCACCGCGCCCCTCTCAAGTGTTTGTCCAGGGCGCTTATGACGAAGGGGGGCTGTACCCTTCCTCGTCTCCAACCTTTATGAACTGAACTGAAGTCAAAATCACACCTCTCTGTTTGGCAACGTGTTTCTGTGGGAAATACGTTCTGAGTCCTGACTGTCGGGTGCATGAATTTGTGCAGTCTCCTTGTGGGAAGGAGCACCTGTCTAGTCTGGTGTTAGCACTGCCCAATTTTTCTAATTTGTTTCATAAGTTTCTATGTCTTCTTTCATCTCTTACAGGTTATTTGAGGGCGGGTATAATTTTCTTTTTGTATAAACTACATGGTATCTAGCACAGTATTCTGGGATGGAAGGCATTTACACAATCTCTAGATATTTCTGAGAGTGTTTTGCATACAAGCCTGTAGAAAGTAAAGAATTAAAGAGCACATAGCGTAAGGTTTTTTAAAGTTCATACTGTAGTGGGGACCTAAGCAGGAAGTATGAAGTCAACCCGCCCCCCATAACGTAATAATCAAAGACGCCTACCTGATGTAGAGGGAAATGGGCACCATGGTGTTGAGAATAATGAAGTAGGACCAGTAAATGAGTGCGGCAGATACAACTGATGAAGAGATGTAATCTTCCCATGGCAGAAAACTCTGGAAGTAGTAGCCTATCTTGCTCTGCCAAATGCTATGACCAACTGCTATGATAAAACATATGATGACTAAAAGCAGGAAAATCTATATAAAACAAAATGAAACACAATAAATTAAATGCACATCTCATCCAAGGTATATACTGTTTCAGTTCTACCTTCTGAAGCTCAATAAGAAGCCTGCCTCTCCTTGGCGGACAGGGGGTCATATAGTGTAGTTTACAGGCCCTGGACACAGCACACGGGACACAAAGGAAAGCTCAATAGGAGCCATCCTTGGGGTTTCGAGGACTGATAATAGAAACTAAAATATACCAAGTACGAAGTAGGAACTGCTGATTATCTTATGTGGTTATGTATTAATATTTATTAGAATACTCTTTTAACAATAAATGAGAAACTTGATACTGAGAGTAGAACAATGTTCTGACTAAAGTCACCCAGCTATTGAGTAGGAGAAACAGCTTTTGAAGCACATCCCTTAATCACTCTATTAGTGAAGTGAGGCACCACTTTTTAAAAGATCTAAGATGTTTGCCATTGGCTTCACAGTCAGCAGGTGGGCAGTAAAGAAAGCAGGCAGAAAAGGCCGGAAAGATGGCGAGAATGTGAACAGTAACTAATCTGGCAAACCTGGGAGGTAGGCTGTGTCCCAGAGAACCTCAGCTCTGAAGAAGTGGTCAGAAAGGGTCAGAACCTTAGTTTGCTGGTTACTACTGGCTGCCTTCGGCAGAGTTTTAAAAGGGAGAGTTGAACACGAGGAAGAACTGACCAATCTGTAAGCACAAATGGGACAGAGTAAAGGGGCCCAGGCCACCAAAGGAATATAACTTCTCCACAGTGAGTAGGAAGAGATCGGGATCTTTGGAAAACCGGCCCAGTGATTCTTTTCAACTGAATGGAATGACTTAGCCTGAGACAGAATTTGGGTTGAAGGCAATATATTTTAACCAATGACTATTATGTCAGATAGCCTGGACTTTCCTGCTGTTGAGTGGAGGGAGTAGGGCATGCAGGGCAAGGAAGCATAGAAACAAGACAAATTTCAGACCTATGCCTCAGAAAGAACTTTTTGTGTGCATGGGGTGGCGCTTGGCTCCTGGCTGGCACGGGGGACTAACTGGGAACAAACAAATGAGGAGCCTGGGAGGTGTTGGAGAGACGGAGTCACTGAAGTAACCATGAACCCAGTCTTTAAAAGCTTGTGACTTCTTGGGAAGCCTTAAAAAAGCAACGCTGGGTGGGTAGCAGGTAGTGAAAAACGCAGTCCCCAAGAAGAGCACATTCACCCACATCATCTTCAGAGCTGGCAGAGGATGAGAAGAGGGGGAAACCCTCCCAAGGGTAGAGCCAGACATCACTGAGGGTAATGAATAAAAAGACCAAGAGAAAACCGTACTTAGATCAGGTGGAGAGGACTGTGCATCACCCAGAGACGCCAGAGTCTACACCGGATGCAGTGGGAAAAAAGAAAAGGTAACAAAAGAAGGGAAGGTTGTGGCAGAGACAGTGGTATGTACTTATTTCCTTAGCAGACAACAAGAGTGGTTGGGAGAGGGGTCATTCTGGCCAGCGTAACTGGAAGCAGTTATGCCTCCTACAGTCTTGGGCCTAAAAATATAATATGTGAATCTTCCTGTTTTCTGTCCTCCCCGCTTGGTTGGTTGGAGGGAGAATACAGTAAATGATTCTGAAGCCCATGGGTTTCATGGAGGCATTAGCTAGTAAGAGTGAATTCCTGACTGGCGAAGCGAGCCGTTTCTCCACACAGCCACCTCCCCTGGACTGTCACATGAGCAAGACACAACCTTTATGATACTGTCACTGAGGTTTTGAGGATTTGTCACTGAGATCTGTTACATCAGTCTTCTCATTTTGACTACGTCACGCTACCTAGAGTTGCAGACTAACCTGATACCCTGCTTTTTCACAGTGGATTTTCTGCCAGAGCACAGTTGAGAACTCGAAGCTCAAATGTGGAAGGAAAAGACTCATGTTAACATTTTTGTCAACTTTGGCCATCTGATCTACAAACGTGGTGGGCTGACCAAAGAGCCATCGAAGCATTAGTTGCTGAGATGGGAAAGAGTCCTTCACGTAGGCCTAGGCCTCGATGAGTGAAAGCTGAGAGTGAAGTGTGTCATCACTGACATCTCCTTGTGGAACCTGAAACAAGCTAGTACTACGCGACAATCATGGATGCCCTAACGGTGCTGGCAAACCTACGGCACACGTGCCACAGTGGGCTGTTGGTTATCACTGAAAGTTCTAAAAGGTTCGCCATCACTGCCCTAAGACAAAGGTCCCCATTTCCTGGGCTAGGGACTTTGTGGGCGAGTGAGTGACACTTCATTTGTATTTCCAAGCCCTCCCCATTGCTTACGTTACCGCCTGAACTTCACCTCTCAGATCAGTGGCAGCGTGAGATGACACTGCACGCAAGGGGTCTAGGCTGCGGACTCCTTAAGAGAATCTAACGCCTGATGGCCTGGTGATCCGAGGGGAGCTGAGATGGAGGTTCTAGTGCTGGGGATCAGCTACAAATAACTGTAACTATTTCATTATATACTACAACGTACAGTGGTACCTCAGTTCATGAACTTAGCTTGTTTTATGATTTTGGGGCAGATGATTGCGCTTGTGTTTGTGTGGGGAAGATGGCTGTGACTGTGTTGTCAGCTGATGTGGAGTTTGTGAATGGAAGCAAAATTTTGCTGAACACTTTTCTTTGGGAAGAGAATTGTTTGCAAACAGAAGTGCTCATGAACTGAGGTATTACTGAAGTAATAGAAATAAAGTAATAGTAACTGTAATGTGCTTGAAGCATCCCAAAACCATGACTCCCCCATGTGTCATGGAAAAATGGTCTCCCACAAAACCAGTCCCTGTTGCCAAAAAAGTTGGGGACTTCTAGGACACAGAAAACATCAACAGCTCAGACTGGCTCTGCTTTCCCCACAGGTGCTGCTGGCCTTGGCGAATTTCATGCTGGTATTCATGAATTTGATGCTGGTATTCCCATGAAAGGGCACATCCATGAGCAGGTCTTTATGGCTTACACTTGGGTGTGAAATAATTGCTGTGAAGGAATTGTTGGTGTTAACAAAATGGATTCCACTGAGCCACCCCACATGCCAGAAGATGTATGAGGAAACAGTTAGGGAAGTCAGCACCTATGTTGAGAAAATTAGTCACACCCCCAACAAAGTAGCATTTGGAATGGTGACAACAGACTGGAGCCAACATGCCCAGGTTTAAGGGATGGACAGTCATCCGTAAAGACAGCAGTGCCAATAGAAGCACAATGCTGAAAGCTTTGGATCACATTCTTCCACCATCTTGGCCAACAGATAAGTCTTTGTGTCTGCCCTTCTAAGATATCTACAGAACTGGTATTGGTAGGTCTGGGTGGATTCACTGCTGAATTCCACAAAAAGATCAGGGAAGATCTATCACCAATACTCCTCAAGTTTTTAAATGAAATTGAAAGGGAAACAGTACTCCCCAAGTCATTCCAGGAAGTGAGCATTACCCTGATTCCAAAACCAGACAAAGATCTAACCAAAAGATCTAGAGACCAATCTCTTTAATAAATATAGATGCCAAAATCTTCAATAAAATAATGACAAACAGAAAGCAATGGATCATCAAAAAGACCACACACAATGACCAAGTAGACTCCATCCCAGGGATGCAAGGATGGTTCAATATATGCAAATCAGTAAATGTAATTCATCACATGAACAGAAGCAACAATAAAAAATCACATGATCATCTCTGCAGATGCAAAGAAAGCTTTGACAAAATCCAACATCCTTTCATGATAAAAACGCTGAAGAAAATAGGTATAGAAGGATCTTGTCTCATGCTGATAAAAGCCATTTATGACAAAGCTGTTGCTAACATCATATTAAATGGAAAAAACTGTAAGCTTTCACTCTGAAGTTAGGAACAAGACAAGGGTGTCTTCTGTCACCACTCCAGCTCAACATAGTACTTGAAACATTAACAAGCATATTTAGGCAAGAAAAAGAAACAAAAGGGATAGGTATAGGAAAAGAAGGGAGGAAAAGAAGGTATAGGTATAGGAAAAGAAGAAGTAAAATTATCACTATTTGCAGATGACATGATCCTTTCTATAGAAGACCCAAAAAATCCACCATAAGACTCTTAAAATTAATAACCTAATGCACGAATGTAGTAGGATACAAAATCAACACATAAAATCAATATAATTTCTGTATATTAATAATAAACACATTGAGAAAGAAATTAGGAAAAAATACAATTCAAAATAGCATTAAGAAAAATTGAACAGATATTAACCTAATTAAAGAAATGAAAGACCTCTACAATGAGAACTATAGTACTCTGAAAAAGGAAATTCAAAAGGACATCAGAAAATGGAAAGACATCCTCCGCTGCATGGGCAGAACCAATACAGTCAAAATGGCCACACTTCCAAAACTGAGATACAGGTTTAATGTGATCTCTGTCAAAACACCAGCAGCATCCTTCACAAAACTGGATAAAACAACCCTAAAAATTCATATAGAATCAAAAAAGCCAGGTGTGGTAGTACACAC